ATTCAGAGTCGGCCAGTGATCATGTTTTTTCTGAAGATTTTGATGAGTTTAGTGACGATGAAAGAAATGATGATGACCTCTTTGAGGCTACAGATAATATATCTGATTAATTATTAAATAAAGGTTTTGCAATTGCAAGCTTGTATTATCCGTTTAGTCTTTGTTTGTTAAATATCAGAGCCTACAGTTAGCTAGAAGGACCTACAGTTTTAAATTGACATAGGTCCTTCGGGCCTGTAATGATTTTCAGTTAATTTCGAACACTGGTTGCCCATAACTCGAAGTTCGGGTAACAGTTAATTGAACATCAAGTTATAATTTTCGCGTGGTTTTGCAAAATTGGGCGTTGTCATTTTTGTAACTTGATGTTTTCATAACTCGATGTTTGAAACTCAAACATTTCAGCGTCTCGTATAATCCTATATTTGACCCCCTAACTGATTAAGTATAAAGCATGCAGCTGTACTTTGATTAAAATTTTAAAATGGTTGGTCTATATAGCGGCCAAGTAGATTGTGACGTCTACATACGAGTAATCTGATAAATAGTATGATTCTAACTGTGTACATATAAGAGAGATATTAAGTTTGGGTCCTGTGGTTGACTGCCCACTCAGCCATAAAAAAAAAGTACATACTGCCGACTTGCCAGACCCAGGGGATGTAAAACTGTCGATCTTGTGTGCTGTTCCTGTCCTTTGTGTGCATAGAAAATCATCCTTGTCATAAAAAATAGCGGGGATAATCACAGAATGACCTCTATAAATAAAGTCGAAATGAAAACACAAAACGTAAGGAGCATATTCCTTTGGCCTATATGGAAGCCAAGTGAGAGTACCATGCATGTTCGTAATTCATGCATGTTCATGTAAGAAATTTTGTTTCCCACTCTAATGTTTACTGTTATTGTACTTTGCAGGGATCATCTACTAACTCTGTGGATTCCCCAGATTGCATCCACTCCAGTCACTTACAGTATGTATGAAGACAACTCTTTACTCAAAGACAGGTCATCTGTTGTGTTTCTAGTACAGATTATAGGCGCATTGAGGGAATTCAATGTTACACTAGAAGCATCTCTCATCAAAGGTCTAGATCTATAAAAAGTATCCATGGTGATACTATCATGTGATGCTGATTCACTAATTAGAGACTTTGAAATCAGTTATTCATGATTTGTGTAATGCTCATTAACCAATGGCGGTCATGTGATGTCATTCCAGCAATTGCATCACAGGAAATCAGTAATACATGAATTATGCGATGATCGATGATGAAAATGAGTAAAAATGTGGGGACTTGTGACGAGTTGAAGCATGCCAAGAATGCACTTTGAAATTAATAGTAATCACTGCAAGACATTGATATGAGTGTTCTTTATCGTGATCAAGTTGTTCAAGAGAAAGATAAAGTTTTGTTTTTGTAGTCAGCCGAAGACATTTCATTAATTACAGACAAAACCATAGCAATATTTAGTGTTACTTATTGATTGGATTGATTTAGTTCTGATCTCAACGACTTGACTTTTATGTGAGTTTGGCTTTTTAGTGACATGGTCTATAATATATTGTATTGAAGATAGATTGAATCGTAAATTACGATTACCATGCAAGTAAGAAATGAAATTGAGGAAATGATAGACCAAACAATTCCTCCATAACAACATAATCTTGCCCAATAAATCTAGGAGAGGGCAGTATAACACTGTTATTGATGAAGATTATGTCGTTATGTACATCAAACTAGTTGAAACTTTACTTTAATAGACACCGTTGGTATCTAATATTTTTATTTTTGCTTTTTGATCACTTTACTGGAATGTGCTGAAGGCTTTTGAAAAAAGTGCCTACTGTTTGTGAGTGTTTAGGAATGTTATTTACTGAAATTTCAGCGTGATTTGAAGTGGGAAAATCTTAATAAACTAATTGCTTACTAATAGAGCAAATACAATATCTTCATTGATTGTTGCCAGAGGGCACTGTATTGTCGGATGCCACTTTATAATACTTTACCAGATGGAGTACAGGGAAGCTTTAATATGTTTACACTAGGATGCTGCACTAGAGGGCGCTTCAATATAAAATTGCACTGGAGGGGGTTTCAATATTAAATTACATTAGAAGGTGCTTTAATAATATATTACACTAGAGGGCGCTTTGATGTGGTATTACAGTCGATAGTGCTTTAATATGAGATTACACTAGAGGGCGCTTCTATATCAAATTGCACTGGAGGGAGTTTCAATATTAAATAAAATACATTAGAAGGTGCTTAAATATATTACAATAGAGGGCGCTTTTATATGAGATTGCTCTATAGAGGGCGCTTCACTGTGGTATTATTGTAGAGGTGCTTATATACGAGATTACGCTAGAGGGCGCTTTAATTTGAGATTGCACTGGAGGGCGTTTCAATATTAAAATACATTAGAAGATGCTTTAATATACTGTGAAATACTTTATTTTCGCTGGAATTAATTTTCGCTGAAAAGGCTTTTTGGGCCTTTTGCTTGGAAGTTATTTTCACTGATTTTAATGAGTTTAATGTGAAATATAGGAAAAAAAGTATATTCGCTGGATTTTATTTTCACGGAATCATCTCTTCAGCGAAAATAGCGAAAATAAATTCCAAGCGAAAATAAAGTATTCTACAGTATTACAGTAGAGGGCGCTTTTATACGAGATTGCACTATAGAGGGCGCTTCACCATGGTATTACTGTGGAGGGCGCTTTTAAATGAGATTAAGGTAGAGGGTGCTTTAAATGAGATTACAGTAGAGGGTGCTTTTTATATGAGATCACTCTTAGAAGAGAGTATCATATTTACATATGTAAGTTTTGTTATAGGATTACATTAGTCAGAAGTAAGGGATCACCCTTTCAGGGTGCATCATTGACTGACATACTAGTATATATTGTCTAACACCAAGGTAGTCCTTCAGTACAGTGCCCTCTCTCATGTAGAAAGAAACTCTTTAAAAAAAAAAGTAGTTATGAATTTGTAGGAATTCATAAACATTTACATGAACCAGTGTGATGATAGTTTAAATCTGTTGGTCATAAATTTTGCTGCAAAGATAAATTCTAGTGATATTATACTTGTATGTCATGTGTGGTGATTCAGAAATCTAAGATAAATGACCTGGTACGTGAAGCTATTTTTATGCTATTTGTGTATAAATGTACATAGAATTGTTAGAGAATTTACAGAGAAAAAAAAAATCTTTTTGTAAAATATGTTTTGAATAATGAAAGTGCCTAGCTGCTTGATAGATGAATTCATGACTTCAGTAAGTCAGCCATTCTAATAACGTACGTCATCACACCGGCCTGGCTCTGTTCACTGCCATGTGAAAGTGGGTTAATTGGTCCCTTATTTTGACTCCTGCAAATAAACCTTGGCAGTCTGATTTTCACTGATGATCTTTCGGCAGTCAGACGGCGTGGCGCCTGGTTGGAAATTAACATCTGACACTGAAGGCATGGATTCGAGGATGTATGATAGATAACTCAGGGTACGATTCTAATTTATAAACATTGACTTAGAATTGTATTTACTAAATTTGATATAACATTTTACTACTATTTGCAAAATATTTTGTGGAAATAACCAATTTTTTGATTATTTAGATTTCCAGTATAACTGGCAAAGTTTGGTTTAAATCTGTTGTAATAGAAATAAAAAAAATAGCTTTGCTGGCATTGTGAATTTTCTTGACTAGAGATGGAGCTGTATAAGTTTTGATGTAATTAGCAATGAGATTAAGGATTGCTTTTAATTTTCAGGTTTGTTATAGTTACAAGATTTATTGTAAAATACTTTTACAGTTTGCAGTAATATTGACATTAAACAATTTTGATATGATTTATTTCTCTGCCATTTGCTGTTTTTAAGTAATAACTTTTACTGAAATATTCTTCTATATTGTAGAATTAATATTTTTATCTTTTTTTTTTTTGAAATAATTATGTTCCGACTTTATGTGTTTCATAATTTTTGTGTTCATGTATGTCATGTTATTTTGTGTTTATGCCACTTGTTCATGGAATGTACATCACATGAATAACACATGTTCATTGGATGTATATCACATGATTATCAAATGTTCATTGAATGTACAGCTCATAGCATTACTTGTGCACGGCATGTACGTGTTTATTTTGTATTCTCTGTTGTGCAATGATAATGGGTGAATCATTCAAAATCATGAGTTGAAGGAGAGTAAACATCCTGCCACAATGGGCATCAAAATGTATCAGTTACATTCATTTTCCATGTCCCTCTACCTTCTTTTCAAGGTTTTTAGATGGTCTGCCCCTAAGTTGAATTAATCTAAGATATAAACCACGCAATGGTTTTAAACTGATTGGGTCAATGCTGGTGACTGGAAAGTTCCCAAACAAATCAGTTTCAGCTATCTGCATCTCAAGTTGTTTTTCTCCATAATGGTATGATTGTGGTACATTATAAATAATAAGTGTGCAAAGCAATAATAACAGTCTGTTTTGATGCAGTGGCTGATTTTTAATTAAAATATGAATGAGAGTTTTTTCTTTGCTGTGACTTGATTGTAGAATCCTTATCCACAACATTGTCCCATATTTCATTTAGTTACATGTATGGTATTATCAATACTCAAGTCGTATTGCATTAATTATTTTTCACATACATAGCTCAGTGACCGTTGCCCATCATGGATATGAACGTCTTATTCTAAACTAAATGATGAATTTGTGTTTGAATCATGTGACATTCATGAATCACTCATAGCACCTGTTATTGAATAAGTTAGTTTGACCCATACCAGGTTATAATCATTGCAAATAATCTTCACTATTCAACAGTATTTTAAATTCTGTATTATATTTTATTGAATATGAGCAATACGGTTGATTTACTGTCTTATGTGCAATTATTTTTTTGTATAAAAATATTTCATTTTTTTTTTGTCATTTCTCAATAAATATGCTGCTCTTTTCTTTGTACACATTCTATTGTAGTTTAATTTGAGGTTGTTCTGTTTCTTGGTAACCCCATATTATATGTACTTGCGTTAGTGATGTGCATTGGTAATGATCCTAGGGCTCTGGACTCTATGTTGAACACATTTCTAGCCAAAGTGGTCATCAAGTTACTACCTGTCATGAAAGTCTGATCTACCATTTATGAGAACTACAGTAGAGCATTAGCAAAATTTGTTTTTGTTTTGCCATTTACCACTAATAAATTTAGCTTTTGTGAACTGGTAGAGTGAACCCTGGTCCTATCCTTGGTAAAGTGAAAAGTTTCAACAGGCTTCACATGCAGTATATATTTGTGTTTCCCTCACAATGTCACTGGGTTATGCGTATAATTTTGTCTACTACTACCTTTAAACTTGGAGTAATTCAATGACAACATTTTTAAGGATCCAACAAGGTGTGAACTAGAAACCTGTTGAAACTGAACACCCCTGCCACTATATAGGTATGAAAATACCCCTATCAAAACAAAACCCCTCTGAAAACTCAATCCACATTCAGCTAAAACATGTTTCACTGTTTTATATGATTCTCTGAACTCTAGTCATGCCAAGCAGTGCATCAACCAAGGCATACATAATTGTCATGGGTGGAAAACAGAGAGCCCTCAGCAAACTTATTGAATATAACTACAGAACTATATTTTCAAGATGGATGTTAGAATAATACATATTTTAGTTGATTATCTGTGAAGCATTTTTTGGGGATATGTGATCCCATCTAGTCAGTAAAGTAACAATACTGTTGTTGTTTTGACTTTTTTTTAAATTGTCTTCACTTTGTCATTTTCAGAACCGTTTAATAAAATATAAATCAGTTCAAACACCTGTGTGTTTACCTTCATCCACCCCCACTCCTCATCCCCCACCCTATCCCCTCACTCCTTCCCCAGTCAGCACACATGTATATATGAATCATAGTCACAAACACTTATCCTGTTTACCTTTCTTTTGGCCCTCTCCATACTAGTCAAGAAATGTTACCTAAATTTGTTGTCATTTACCATGTGAATTTATTCAAACGTGAAGATTGGGGCAGTCACACTTTCATCTCTGTGCCAAATATCAGTTGATACAGTGTATGTGGAAAACATACACTGTCATCCATTGTTTGTTAAATTAGCATGTTTGGATTAGCAGCCTTCTATATTTATCAACCAATCAATGGTGTTGCCCTCCCACTGACTGTAGAAGCAAAATCAAGACAATATACAGACTAATATGGAAAGGATCAAAATACCCATGGAATAATAGGAAGGCAACTAAGGGTATTTGAACTATATCAGAGGTGGCAAATTCGCTACTTAACGTATTTGATATTGTCAATTAGGGTGTTTTACGTTGACCTGCATGTATGTATATTCTAAAAATCTTATGCATCAACCAAGGTCTATTCATTCACCATCCCCT